TCAAAGAGTTTTGTTAGTAGGCAGACAACTAAGATTCAATTAATGGCATGTTTCAGCCATGAAACTTCTACAAAACTAATGAACCATGATCCCCCTTCAAGTTACTTCATCCAAATGATATTCAATCATCAAACTGAAGTGATTGCTTTGAACTCATAAGCCTGAGGCAAAGAATGTCATGGATACAGGATTAGGGTTCTAGTTCTAGTTCTGTCACCTCTTTGATCTCAGATTTCCAAAGGTTCTTGTTCATCTACTCACCCTTCATTCAATAAGTATCATGAAGCTCTTTACTCTGAGCACAGCAACATAGCAGGCTTTTATCTTGGATATCTCTCATGGCAAAGGAAAATGGGCTATGAAAAAGTGAAGTAACGGTACCCCAGCTATCTGAGTTCTTGAGCTTGTCCTAGCTCACCTTCTTTCTACCCCTACCACCAGCGTGTAACAGCTGCTATCATTTTTAGGGTGGTTACTGTGTGGCATTTATTGTATGGGTCGTAATTCATTGAGTTCTCACAATAGCCCTGCAGCGCATGGCTATGATTATCCTCATTTCGTAAATAAGCAAACTTAGCTCAGAAGCCAGGTTGCAGGTTTGTACAACTCCAAGAGATTCTACTCACATTGAACTCCATGAGCATGAGCGCTCTGTGGAGCACAACTCCATACAACGGGAATGGTGTCCCCTGGCCTCTGCAACCTTGTGGACTTGGGGGCATTTTAGTAAACAGAGCCTAAGTCTGTTTATTGTTCTGTATCTTTTTACAGGCAGTCAGGAAAAAACAATGGTGAACTTCTGGTTTTAAATCACAAGATTATTCTGGAATATTTCTTCTATGTGTCTCCTCTACTCCTTTTTAAAAATTGTTTTCCATTTTCCACAGAGCCCTAAGTAGTAGATTAAGATAAGGTAACTGGCAGCATCAGAGTTGATTAAGAAAATAAGGCAGGGGGCCAACCCAAGAGGGCCGCGTAGGATGGTTCTGCTCTCACCTCTTCCTATAAGCTCACTGGACCTATGACTACATGTGGAACAACAGTTTCCTCTGAAAAAGACATGAAAGTGAGCTGAGCAGCTGCTTTAACCTCAGCAAAAGAGAAGAGAGCCACATCTAGGTGGGTAGGAGAAGCTGAGATGCAGTCTCGCCAAAAACCCCTAGCGCGCGCGGCAGCCCACAATGAGGGGAAGGGGACTCACAAACCTGGAGTTTCTCCCTGAAGAGCCAAGGGTTGGTTCTCACATCAGGCACCTCAGCTTTTAAGACCTGCACCTGAGAGATGAGCCCCCTAAAGCATCTGGCTTTGAAAAGCAACGGGGCAGGTGGCCATGAGACCCAAAGGGCCTTAATGAACTGAGAAACAGCTCTTAAAGGGCCCATGCAGACTCACTCGCTCAGGGCTCAGAGTAGAAGTGGCTGTTGCAAAACACCCAGGCTTTCTGTCAACGAGATTCATTTGCTCCTCTTAAAAGTATTGGCCGGAGGGGCCACCGTCTGTTGAGATACTTACTTCAGGGATGGACACTCTGGTGGAAGCCTTTTTTTCCCCCTTTAGAGGGCACCGTCTTCATGCTCTCTGCCCTGCTCCACAACTCCTAGAAGGGAGCTTTTACACATGTCTGGTGACCTAGGTTTTGCAGCCACAGCCAAGGGCATGCCCCTTGGTCATCTGGCTCTGGTTCCATTGGGACTGTAATCGTCAGAGAGAGATCTGGGCAGGCGACCACCCACGGAGCACTGCCCAGACAACAGACTGAAATACACCCCACTCTTTTTGCAAAAGAGGCCTATTTACTTGTCTAGGAGCTTTGGCCCGAGGGCCCGGCTTCTGGGATGGCACGCATCTAGGGACCTCTGGAAGGCCTCTCAGGGAACGAAGCTCGGGGATGCCATCTTGGCGCTCTCTCTCTGCCTCGCTCCAACTTGCCAGTATCTCCTGGAAAGGCGATACTGGATTCACTCACCTGGATCCCTGGTTTTTGTGACTGTTCTTGGTTGTAGCCAGTGGGACTTAATGCTTTGTGATTGCAATATGCTGCCTGAGAGTCTGTCTTCCAATCAGCCTGATTCTAGATACTGACTGAGGTCCTTCCTACTGGGACACTGACAGGCCTTTGCACACACTCACTACGGGGAGCCACCAAAAATAAAATAGCTGTTTGGACAATCACAAGGTTTCGCGGGACATCCGGGACCTAGGGCAAGGTCGAACGATAAGGTTTATCTCCTACACAAGGCCATTCCTTCAAGACTGGGAGAGACGGGTGTTTTCATCTAATACATAGAAACCAACACAGAGTCAAGCAAAATGAGGAAACAAAATTAATGTGTTCCAACTCAAAAAAATAAGATAAAACCTCAGAAAAATGGTTCCTTTCTCCAAAACATTAATGAAGTGGTGATAAGAAAATAAAACAGAAGAGCAAAGTGAATCTGTACTTTTTTTCCCTCCTCTTAAAACTACTTTGACTCATATTGGTCATTAGTTTGTCCCACAGAACCACCTGATGCCTCAGAACCACCTGATCCAGAACCTTCTGGACCCCTCTGTTCCAATAGCATCGTCATGTGGTTCCAGGGTCCCCTTACTCTTGGTTTCTTGTGCTTTGGGATCAAGTAGGCAGATATCCAATTGTCCATTTGACCAGAACCAAGTTACTTTATGGTGGAAGTGGGCGTGGAAGGGTGTACGGAGGAGATGATGAGGGGACATATTCCTCCATACCCTGGCTATATTTGGGACCCAATCAGTTACCAAGTTGAGGAGTTGGGAGAGAGACAGAGAGAAAGACGGAGAAACTTCTGTGTGCCCCACAACTTGTTTAAGAGTGTTTGAAAGAGGTACAGATGGGTATTTTCACTGGACACCTTAATCCAGAGGCGAGGAACTCGTTCCGTAGCATCTCCGAATGTGTGCTCCAGTGTGTCGCATCTTTTGTTTCGTGCGTCTGGCTTTTGCTTTGGGTTTCCCTCCTTGCTCAGAATGTCTTTCCCCTACTTCCTCTCTATCCTTCAAGCCTCAGGCACCTTCGACTTTAGAACAACTCCCCCCATTCCTGTACTACTGGCCCCAACATATTCTCCCTATGAGCTCCTACAGCAACCTGTACTTCTCCATATCTGCTCACGTGCTTGTCTTCTCCAACAACCTGCAGGCTTATGCATCTTCATTATGTTCCTAACAGATCATTAGGCCTTTACCAGACAGCCAATAAATATTTTTTTAAATAAATGAGTTGGGTGAAGGTTTAGAGACACAAATAAGTTGAAAGCTAACTTTATGAACCCTAATCCAGTCTTACAACTAGTACCTGCAGGCATTTGCCTTCTTTGTTCATTGCTTCTGGCTGTGCAAACACAATCTGCCTAAGGACTGGGACTAGGACTGAGCAATTATTGAGAGATTTTTTAATGATATGATAATAACAGCTACCATACAGTGAGTGATTACTATGTTGCAGGCTCTAAGCACATTGCATATATTAATCATTTAATTCTCACAGTTCTATAAGGTAATTATCCCTGTTTTATAGATAAGGAAACTGGGACCTAGAGAAATGGGCATATGAAGGACACCCAGTCAGTGGGAGATCTGGCTCCAGAATCCATACTCTTGACTGCTATGCTTTTCAATGAGAAAGACAGAGATGATTGAATCTTAATAACCTCAGATTGATTCTGAATTTGAAAGGAAGGACTACATACTCTTTTATCCGTCATTCCATGATTTAATTATGCTCACCTTCTTTACCTAACATGACTCTTATACACATACACCTACCACCACCACCTCTGTAGCAAGTGTTTTTACCCTTTTCTGAATGAAAAGGACCCAGCTATGAGTGTTTAAGGGCTGGAAAGTGTTGCATGACTCCAATAATTATGAAGTCCTGATGAAATGCAGAATAGCTTGGACTATAAAATGAGATGGCACATAAATTGATGCAGCCTGGAAGGGACAGAGCAAAAACATTGCTTTTCTTTCCACAGCATATCTCTAAAGCGATGTATGTCTCCTTTAAGCTTTTCAGTTCATAGAAAAAGTAGATCCTTTGGGGAAAGCTTATTTATGATGGGGTGGTCTTCTCTTTAGCGGTAATTTCTATTGGAGCCGCAGAATGACCTCTATTGAGATCTGAGCTCATTACATAGTGAGGCCAAAGTTGAAAAGAACTTACCAAGAAAGCTTTGAAACTTAGTTATATCCAGTTGAAAAGTCTTAATATTAAATTTTAAAATTACCAAGAGGAATCTATAAATTTAGGTATCTCCAAAGATGCTAAAGCTTCCCCAGGGTGGCTATACAAAGACCCAGAGTTTGCAGGGCTTGAAGATCAACTAAGCACACATCTTTTTAAAGAACTCCATTGGGATTTTGAACATTTTTATATATTTTCACACATGAATATTGCCATATTCACTGTCAGAAAAAAAAAGATATTTATAGTTATCAGAGCAAGGATTTAGACTGAAATATCTGTATGGTTTTTATTTGAAGGATATAGGATTCTGAAACGAACTTTATTGGAGAGAGAAGGAAGATAGGTTTTCCTCTTTTGATGTCTTTAGGAATGAAAGATGCATTCTATAATTTATGAGTTCAGCTTGAGGTGAAGTGATTGACTACAGGTTTAATAATCTACATGCATTTTGTAAAGATTAGTCTCTGAATTTGTTAATATGATTGTTACCAAAATGGTCAAAAGCATCAGGTGTCAGAAAAAGTGTCCCTCAAAAGGCTTTATTTTTTTTAAACTAACATTTCACTTGCCTACATGAAAATATATACAACCAGCAACTTTAAGGAGGAAAAAAACAAACAAAAAATGGAATCTGTGTGAATTCTTTTCTCTACCAATCATAGGTCTCTCCTGGTAAGTGTTGCCGTTCTGGGTGAATGTAGTACTCCTCTTTTATTTTCACTTTCATAAGGGGAGATTGTGTTTGTATGTGAAATGTGTATTTCACCATGGTCCTACACAATATATTATTTCAAAGTAAAATAGACAAGTACGAGATATTTATTGACACTGACTGAAATATATACAAGTATTTCTGAAGAACAAGCTGAAAACATTTTCAGGTTTATTTTCTCACACAAAGACCATATTACTCTGAAATCAGGATGTGCCAGCTTTACTTTGCGGAAAACCACATACCAGCAGTAAGCTTTGCCGAGAGCAGTTTTTATCCTTAAAGAACTGCAGGGCCGAGATGAGAGTGGTAGTTGTTGATGCTCCCGGGGCTGGCAGAGACAAGGCCAGTGGAAAGCAGCAAGGGCACTTACTGGAGTTTCATTATTTACATCAAAATTGACTTGCTGGGGTTTTGCCTCTGGGCTCTCTTGAAAGATGATGCTGAACTGTGGCTTGAAAAGCAAACAGTATTAGGACCAAGAAAGTGCTTCTGCAAAGTATCTGGCCCAGGTCGCAAGAGTCCAGATTGTGTCCATAGCAGAGTGGCCTCCTGGTCAGAGCAGTGACCAGACAGGATACATTGGGTTGCATGGTGAATGTGACAGATCACCGCCAGGAGTGACCCCTTAGATGTTCCAAAGAAATTAGTATGTAAAAACTAACCAAGAAAACGCCTTTCCCACATCTTCCTCTCTGCCTTTGGGGACACTGCAGCCACTCTCCATAATCAGCAGCTGTGATTGTGAAAGTTGGCCCATCTTGAATATCATGCTTCGTCTAGGTCTTACAAGGCATTTCAAAAACCAGATGATATAGGAAAAAATGCAATATAGAAACTAGAGTCAGAACTTTGAAAATATTTCTGCTTATTCAATTTCTCTTCCAGAAATCTGAAATTAGGTGTGATAAGTTAACAATTATACAAACAGAGCTGCTTTCAATAATTTAATTAGACTCATGCCCAAAAAAGGAACTTGCATGAAATATTAAATATTACTCTTAAAGTAATTTGGACATAGTCACATACACATCAGGAAAGGGAAAAACCAATCTCGCCAAAATGCCAGTGTTTTGTTTTGTTTAAAAAAATAATGACAACACTATTAAAGGTAAACAATATTTTCTTCAGCTCCATCTCCAGTTTCCCCTTCTTGTCTGGTCAATGTCTGTAGATTTAGCTTTGCTTCTGTTATAAACGTCGGCAGCTGAGGGCCGTGTGGATCTGAGTCATGGGGGCTTGTGAACTCAGTCCCAGAGACGTCCAAATCTGCAACAGACAAACAGCACAGGTCACAGACAAGACCCACAAAGCAGGTGAACTATGACTCCGAGTCAGCCATGGAGAGAATGGTGGAGTCCAGTGAGAAAGTAACAAAATAGATATCTAATATTTTAATCAATATCATTAAGATATATTTGGTTGTGTGTACAAATGTCTCCTGTAGCTAAAAATAATCTTTATAAAATACTTCTAGGGAAATGTCAAAGATCTTAGAAATACAGTATATATTCTATGTGCAATTAACTATATTTGCTTCTGCATAGCATTTTACCTTAGAAGATCTCAAAGTCAAGAACTGACCTCAAGACAAATAATGTATCTGGGATTTTATTGATACAGGCAAGGGGTGGGGAGAAAGGCACTGAAGGATGGCGACTCTTCAGCTTCGCCATTATGCAAATCTGTTAACGCCACACAAATCACTTAGCAAGTATACCCAGATTCCTAGGGAAAATCATTCCAATATCAACTATGACTGGGTTTATTTTTTTCTAGTTCCTTAGCAACAGCAGGGCATAGTCTATTCTCCCTTTTTCTGGTAAAACCCTCTAATATATGGTTTAAAGTAGAGGCGAAGAGGGTTTTGATCTGAAGAAAAGAGAGGCTCTTGCTGCAAATCATTTTCTCTGCATTTATTCCATGGACCATCCTTCCTGAGGCTTGGCTATATGGCAAAATTACAAATAATCAGCTTTGGTTGGAGCAAAATGTAGAGTATGCATGGAAACACAGGTGGAAAAGATGTATAGCCCTGAGGCCCATCTGCTCTTTTTTCAGTCTTTAACAAGAAGTCATTATAATCCTTGCCACATTTATTCAAAGCCTCTATTATTTAGATGGATACATATAACTGCTGGCATTCTAATAATAAAAACCCCTGTGACTTTCACCCTCTTCATAAGGATCTTTGGTTCTTAGAGAAGGAAGCAAGACCTGGAAGGAATGAGGAGCAAAATGTCCTCACAAGGCTCCATCTTCAGAGATGTGGCACCCTTTACTACACCTCCTTTCATCACTTCTCCCAATAGGAGGCAGAGCCAATGGGAGAGGAGTAACCAGGCTCATAGGAAGTAGACACAGGTCACCAGGAGGAGCTGACCCATGCCTCTGAAGCTGAGGAGGATCCCTGGGAGAGGAGGGATGTGAGGATGTACTCCACAGCTCTGCTCAAAGGTCAGGCTATCCCTGACTCTACATGCCAATGCGGCACAAAGAAAAAAATCCATTTACATTGAGATGACTTGATTCTACTGACCCGAATTCCAAATACTGTACCTTGAATACTGAGAACTCACTCACTACTGAAAATATATCTACCGAAGATGCCTCTAACTACCACCATGTATAGAATGCCTTTTCTGGGCACAGAATCTCTTCCAAGTCTTATCTCCCTCATTTAATCAGATAAACACAAAACCCCCCAGGCAGTGATCTCATTATCAGAGCAATCAATATAAATCAACCTACGATGTTCTCCATCCTATTTCACTGCATAGGGAGACAAAGTATGCCTCTGTGGCCACAAAACACTTTCATCATTTCAACTCCTTTTCTCAGCCATTGAATAAATAAGGCCATTTTACCTCTAAAAACAAATATTCCCAGTTTAACTACTGATGTTTAATATTACACATCCTTAAAAAACAAAACAAACAAAAAGCCCACACTTCAAAACTTCCACCTAGCAGATGTTGGCAGATTGGAAAAGAGTTCACCTAAGCTATTACAGTACTGCCTCCAAGCCTACAGAAGGTCCAGCCAAGGCACAAGAAATACCACATGGAAAATGAACAATCATCCATTGAATGAAGTGGTTGGGAGGTGATTGCTGACACATGTGACCATGCCAAGCACAATGGAAGCCCTTAATCCATGTAAGTTTCCTTCCTCTGGGGTGTGAAACCTTTAGCAAAGAATCCAAAATACTGGTGAATCTAAGTAACTGGGAAGTCCCTTTAATGGCTTCAAGAAAAGACTTGTTCAAAAACAGTCGAAGAACCAAATAAGTATCAGAAAGAATTCTTTTATCTGAAGTTAAATTTTGGGCCCTAATTCAGGAAGACAGAGAACCAAGAATGAATGGGCAGGGGGATGTGGAGGTAGAGAGGTAGAGAGGTAGAGAGGTAGAGAGAGGTAGAGAGAGGTAGAGAGAGGTAGAGAGAGGTAGAAGGAGGTAGAGAGAGAGAGAGAGAGAGAGAGAGAGTGTGTGTGTGTGTGTGTGTGTGTATGAGGGGGTATAGAGGTTTAATCAGAACTTTTTCGAATAAAAATAAAAACACAGAAGAAAAACATCGCTAGGTGAGAGTCTGCAAGACCCTAAAGTGAATGACCCACAATGTAATCCCAGTTGTACTAATAGAAGTGGCTGTGGTGTGTGTCACCTGGAGAACTCAATTTCCTTCTTCATGTTCCTTCTTGGTTTCTACCTGAACTATTTAGGCAAGGTCAGACAGTCTGTCTTTGAAATTAGAAACTGTTCTGTGATTTCTGATTTTATTACTCCATTTCAACCCTGGAAGAACTCCAGCACAGCAATTGTATATTTCTCAAGGTCAGCCACCTTTTTCCACACTTTTTACCCTAGAGAGTATGATCATCACACAGAACCCTAAACTCAAAAAACATTTGTTAAAATAAAACCTCACTGATTCAGAAAGCAGAATTCCTGGGAAGTAAAGTTAATCATCCAATTTGATCTGTGATCAAAACACCTATAAATTAGTGGACATAAAAACAGAATATCTCATTTTTTAATAAGAAATATTAAAACAATCATAATTTGGTCAACTAAAAACCAAATGCTACTACTAAAATGAAACAAAACTTCAAACTACAAAGAAACTTTCAACCTAGTGTCTTAATACAACATTCCCTCTTAGATGTAAAAGAAATAATGTGATTCTTATCATACTTCTGGAAACTAAACAGAGTGAACATTATGAACCTTCAAATAAGGACAAATGAGCTAAAATTCATAAAAGCCCCAAAGCCTGGTTAAACCAAATGGAGAGGTAGAATCTTGGTGCAGGGATTTTTTTCTATTTAACTTAACTTTCTTTCACATCCTAAAACTTCATCCTTCACAAGAAATTTCCTCAGACCCACTGTAGGGTCTGAGTTGGTCTTCTATCTGATATCAGATATCTATGTGGTATCTGATTTAGACAGTTCCCTAAATCGTCCTGTTTTTAGCCTTTAGTTGCAACCTGTTGGTTGACATTTGCATTTATCATTTTCACACTTTTCTCTGCTCATCAGCTGTTGGAATGTCAAATTATGAGGGGAGAGAATCTTAGGGCTGGGATGACATACAACTATAGAAATCAACTCTTGAAAAGCTGACACTAGCAGTAAGTACAATTGGCCTTTCCTTCCTCAGCTCACCATCATCACTATTCTATTCAGCCAACTGAATAAATTGATTATTTTCAAGACCAGACTATAAACTCAGGTACAAAATGCAGCCATGTGCCATGTTAAAAATGAAAAGTGCTGCTTCTTAAACTCATAAGTGAATGAAATCTCTTAAACCACAAGGTAAGATGTAACCTTGGGCAAATCATTTCCCTTCTCGGGGCTTCAATTCATAAAGGATTGAACTGAAATCATCGTTAAATAATCGTTAAGGCCTCTTAAACTTTTTATCCTCTGTGAGAATTTTTATATCTGTGTCTTGGCCAAGTGATTCACCAAATAATATTCCAGAAGTACAATAAATACACGCATTTTCAACTGCTTTACGCTCCAGAAATGCACATTATTAAGTTGTATTTAAAGTAATGTTTATGGGTGATTTCCAGACATGTTCCACTCCATCTTAAATCTTCCCAACAACACATGTTTGAGCCCACACATAGCACTCAATGATAGGATTTAGAAAGCTACCAAATAAGTGAAAGATAATGTCCATATTCCAAACGTGCACTTGACCTCCCCTTCAATGAAGAGCAAACTTAAGAGTAACTTGTAATAAAGAACAGATTTGTGAATCAAAAAGTGTTGTCTTTGCGTTTTAAGTTACTCTTTGCCTTTTTCTTTATTTCTGAAGAGAAAAACATTTTAAATCTTAATTTTTAAACCAAAGTTTTATTTAAATTTAAAAGTATCAGTATAATTTTCATCATGAACACCAACTATCAAGGTCTGCATTTAGCTCAACAGTGTGCCCAGGGACCAACACTCAGCAGCCCAGTGCTGCAAACAGGATGTTGAGTCTACTGTTGAGATCGTTGGTGATGCCTTGTTCAGCCCTCTCTGTATCTCATCCCATTCCATTCTCTCCAACAAAACTCACAAAAGAGAGGTTATTGTCTTCTGGGTCTTGGCTCTGTTGTTTATTTTAATGAAGGATTCTGACTTATATTTATTACTATATCCCTTGTGCATGTTCCTAAAATCAAAATTCGCACTTCTCTAAAATAACTGTACCTCAGAAAAATTTTGTCATTAATGTTCCAAGTCTGCAAAATAAAGTTGTATTCCCTATTTAATAATTGATTCATGCTTATACTGTGAAACATTTAAAAAATTGTTTCCTGATGGCATTACTGGCAATCACTATTTTTTCTCAGGAGCATGAACGCACATCATTTTCCTTTTAATGGAAAACACTTATTGCACAGAGCTCAAGGTATCTTCAGAGCAAAGGAATATTGGTCCCTGTCCCTTATTTTGCTCAATTCCATTTCCCACAGTGAGCCACAATAGGATGTGAGCCCTTGGCATGAAAACCACTCTGATATTTGAAAGCATGATCTCAATTAGTGTTATGATTCCCTTTACTATCCTTCATGATCTAATATTGCACCTGAAATAAAATAACGGAAGTGCGCTAGGCGGTGTATGTGTGTGTGCGCGCGCACACACGTGTGGTGTGCAAGTATAAATTTGTAACATAAGAAAGCAAACTTACTTTTAACTTGTGACTATTAGAGTTGGGCTTTATTTTCTTATCAGTAATTAACATATTTGGAATAACCTGTTGG